TATTGCAGTATCTTAAGAAAACCAAATAAATGCAATTTGTGTGAAACAAATTTTAATTACTCGAACAATTCATGTACACATGTATGTTTGTTATAAGTGTATATATTTTTGTTAACGACTTGATATCGAAAGAAGTAGTTTTTGGCCGGCGTCAGAGAGATATTTTCAACCAACAAGTTATATTTTTAAAGAATGTTGCTGAATCGACAGACCTTGAGAAGATGTAATTGTGGATCGTTCTGCCCCAAAAGAAGGGAGTGTTCACATAATCGCTTCCGTCGCTTTACCGCCAACCGTCACATAAAGTTAGCCTAATCGTCTCTAAGTAAGCCACCTTTTTGCGGAACTGTAAAAGAACCTCCGTCCATCTTGTATGGCGTTAGATGCGCTTTTTATAAAACAATAGAATCAATAACAGAAAGATAGTACGATGAGTACATTTCTTTCGTTAATGTTACAGCAATAAAAATTAATTCGCTAATTTAAAATGGAATAATTTGAATGGTAACTGTGAAAAAATATTAAATTTTATAAGGATTTTAGCGCAATTTACACACTGCCAATGCTAATCTGCTGTTGTTGTCGTCGACCGGTAGTAGCAACCGGTTAAACGGTGCGTTCTCGACTGGTTGGTGACAGTTTCATTTTTCTTTTCAACCACACAATGCGGTTATGGGTATTTGCTCGGTCCGGTGGAATTTCGTTTTTTTTCGAACGATCTATAGCTAACGCCTTCTACAGTTTAAATAAATATTAAATTAGTTATAATGTTTCAACTCTAATCACCATGCTAGTTTGCTGCTTGCGAATGTCAGTGGTATAATAGTTTGCTTTAATCCTCAGTTAATTCTTTGTTATAATCACCGCGATAAATTCACTAAAATGTATTCTCACTAAGTGTATTTTGAATGTATGTTTGCTATTTTTTTTACAAATGTACATATATACCTATACTACACACATCCATATAAGTACAAATGTATGTGCGCGAAATGGTATACAAATTCGGGTAAATAGATACACAGTGGTTAATTTATGCGCATATGGTACAGATACTTATACAGTCATCGGCAAAAGTATTTTAGCATTAATATTTGAACTACATATCGTCACCTGAAATGCAAAATAACGTAACAACATCGTCACCGAAATGCAAAAAGTCGTAACTTATAAAAAATTCAAAATTGATTTTTTTTTATTGCTATGATGGTTTCAACGAATTACAACTCCCCACATCGTTTTATGAAAAAAAATAGTCACGACTTTTTCCATTTCAGTGACGATTTTGTTACGTTATTTTGCATTTCAGGTGACGATATGTACATATATTCAAAATGTTTTTCATAAGTGCTCGTTCCAAAACAAAAACCATTTAAATGAAAATTTCAATCTTTGGACAAGAATACGGACAATTCACCAAATTTTCGATCATAATTTTTAAAATAAATTCGAGTGCGCACTTTCACAACCAATTTTAGTACAATAAAGTGCAAGTTTGAAGTTGCTAAAAAGTATCATTGATTTTTGATATTTTTTTTAAATGCTAACGATGTTCAGCATTTTTTTATTCCATATAAAGAATTTTTCTGTAGTAGTTTTTAAATATTAAGCCGAGTCCCAATTGATCCACCTGAAAGAGGTGTCCGTGAAGTACATCACAATCGGTCTCCCAAGGCACACAAAGGTGCTACAATTTAACTGTAACGGTCCAAGAGACGAAGTTGCACGGCAATTCAACCCTGTTGAATTGCGCCGGATATAACGTGCACCGTCGAGATCGCGAGCGAGATAATGGTGGAGGTTTAGCGTTCATCACGCACCACACCGTGCAGTATCGTCTCATTGAAGCTGACATCGACCGCAGGGATACCATCCTAGAATGTCAGGGTATTGCTATCCGGTCAGGCGATGTTGAGCTCGAAATATTTAACGTATACATACCCCCTATCACCAGCTGCCCGGCAGGATATCACCCTGAAATAGGTGCGCTACTCAGAGGTGAAAACCGTATGGTAGTTGGTGACTTCAACGCGCACCACGATCTCTGTCACTCAAGCCTGTCAAATGATCGTAGGGGAATACATCTGGCTGAGCAGATAGACTATTCGACATTCTGCACAATGAACGACGACGCACCCACCAGGATTATGAGCAGCTGCTGCAGCTCGCCAGATCTAACAATTGTCAGCGCTGGTCTGATAAACAGCGTATCATGGCGACCTATGCTGACTCTAGCATCAGACCATCTGCCCATAGTCATCTCGATTGATAAACCAGCCGACTTTGCTTCCGTGGATCACCGGACCTATATCAACTTTTCCAAAGCTGACTGGAAAGGCTTCACGGATGTTACTTAGGGCGCCTTTACTGCACTACCCATACCAACCGACGTTCATGTAGGTGAGCGTAAGTTCTGCAGGGTTGTCACCGCTGCAGCAGCTCGCTTCATCCAGCAGGATGTATTAAGGATCCACGTCCGAATTTTCCTGCCGAAGCGGCTGTTCTAGCTGATGAGCGCGACAACCTTCGTCAGGCCGATCCCGGAAATCCCCGTATTAGGGATCTCAATTCGGAGATTCGGCAACTTGTGAACGTACATAAGCGGAAGAAATGGGAAGAGCATCTGAAGACCTGCCACTTCGCCTCTGGTGTGAGCAAGCTTTGGTCAACCGTGAGGTCGTTGTCCAACCCAACGAAGCGCGACGACAGAGTCGAGATCGACTTTGGTGACCGCGCTTCGTCGGACCCGGAGAGATGCGCGAGCTATTTTAGCCGGCAGTTCATTCTGCATCCTCCGGTGGATAAAGCCAAACGTCGAGTGACCAGAAGGTTGCACAAAATGCCAAAACCTAGTGCGCCTCTTGTTTTCACCAGCGGTGGACCCGACGGAATATGCATGTTGATGCTGAAAAATTTGGGTCCTGCGGGAGTAGCGTACCTAACGGAGGTCCTCAACCTGTCTATAGCCACTCTCGTCATTCCAGACATCTGGAAAATGGGGAGAGTTGTCCCACTGCTCAAACCGGGGAAACCAGCCAACAAAGGAGAGTCTTATCGCCCGATAACTCTCCTTTCCCCGGTAGCGAAGACACTCGAGGCCCTGCTGCTCCCGTACTTCACGAACCACCTGACCCCAGCGAAGCATCAACATCGGTTCCGTAAAGTGCATAGTACAACAACAGCACTTAACGCCATAAACACTCAGATAACTCGTGGCCTAAACCGAAACCGCCCCTGTGAGAGAACTATTCTAGTAGCGTTGGACATGTCCAAGGCGTTCGACACTCCTCACTCCCACAGGGACTCAAACGGTGGTCGGCGAATTACCTGAGTGGTCGACACTCGTCCGTAATCTTCGGAGACAAAACCAGCAAGCCACGTAAAATTAAACAGGGGGTACCACAGGGTGGTGTCCTGTCCCCGCTACTGTTTAATTATTACATATCAAAGCTTCCTCAGCCACCAGAGGGTGTTAATATAGTCTCATATGCTGACGATCATGGCGTCTGGGAATGGAATTGATGACTTGTGCTCAAAAGTAAACGGTTACCTCTCCGAACTTTCTCGCTTCTTCACTGCAAGGAGCCTAGCCCTATCCCCTGCGAAATCCTCGCCAACCCTTTTCACCACCTGGACGAAGGAGGTCAGACTGCCACTGGGTATTCACGTCGATGACGTAACAATACCGACGGTGAATAACCCGAAAATCCTCGGAGTTACCTTCGACAGTCTGCTCTCCTTCTCGGCGCATACAATCGCAATTGTCAACAAAGTACAGAGTCGCAACAATGTCCTCAAGTCGCTGGCCGGTTGCACTTGGGGCAAAGATAAAGAAACGTTGTTGGCAACATACAAGGCAATTGGCCTGCCGGTTCTGAACTACGCAGCGCCCGTATGGTCGCCGGGGACTAGCAGGACGCAGTGGATGAAGCTGCAGACCTGCCAGAACACGGCATTACGTACCACGACAGGATGCCTCCTGATGACGCCTCTATATCACCTTCATGACGAGGCCCAGATGCCCCCGGTAAAGGAGCATAACTTAATGCTTTGCCAGCAGTTCCTCGCTAGGAGCTACAGACGTGGCCATCCCAGCGGGCAACTGATCGCCGAAGAGCCCTCGCCACGGCACGTCAGAAGGCATCTTTACGAACTGACAGACGAAGTCCAGAGGTATATTAAACAGCCTCTGGACCCGACAACCTACCGACAGGCCCTCAACGGCATTCACAGGGAATCAGTCTCAAGTTATGTAGACTCCCGCCCTGTGAATGCCGTTCTAGGCACACAACCACCGGACGTGGACGGGACAGAACTTTGTCTGCCTCGGGAGACCCGCACAACAATAGCCCAACTTCGCTTTGGCTATTGCAGCAGGCTCAACAGCTACCTGAGCAGAATCAACGAGGATGTGCCCAACCAATGCCCGGCATGTGGAGAGTCGCCACATGACTCCCGGCACCTCTTCACATGCCCTGAGAATCCCACTCAGCTAACGCCCCTGTCCCTATGGACAGGCCCTGTGGAAGTCGCACACTTCCTGGGCCTCCCCTTAGCTGAAATAGACGACAACGATGATGGATGACCCGTCCCGAACGGGGCTTAGTAGCCGCTACAACAACAACAGGATTCAATTCCTTTAGTTCACAGCAAAGGAATCGATTACTTTTTCAATTCCTTGAAGTAATTTCAAATGGAGTTGTTTTTTTCTTTAATTCCATTACAAGGAATTTAATATTGTAATTGGAATAAATTACGTGCTAGTAATGTAATTTCTTTTATTTCAATTCCTTTGAAAGGAATTGAAAATGTAATTTTTTTTCCAATTCCTTTGAAAGGAATTGAAAATGTAATTGATTTTTTTTTCCAATTCCATTCCTCAAAGTAATTTAAAAAGTAATCGATAAATTTATAATTTTTTTTTTTACTGTTGAATTGCAATAGCTTTGTTGAATTTCTTGGTTGCTAACTGCCTTGAATAAACAACTTA